GAATGAATGTTCCTCCTCTTATTGACTTGCTGTTGGAGCGTGTCTCGTGTATGGCCACGTTGTTGTCGGACGATGTTTTAACATTGTCGAAAAATAAAATAATATAAATAAATAAATTAAATAAATTATTATTATTATTATTATCAATTTTTCTTTTTGGTGTATTTTATTTATTTCCTACTTTATATATTTATATTCTAATTACTCTTATCTTTATTTTCTTAGCCTCGATGAAATGACGTCATAGGTATGATGTCACGCGCGTGGATTTCAATGAGACTGATAATTTTCCCGTTGGAAAACATGACCGGTCATAATCGAGCCATATAATCAATATTGTATTTTTAACCGTTTTATAGCTATGCTCATTTATTCATTCATAAGATAATGCTCTAGATTTTAAGTATAGATCACGTGCTAAAACATCATATAAATATAGAATATATAGGTTTTAAACTCAAGATCTAGATTTAAATCCAATTTTTTATTTATTTACTAATTATTTCAAAGAAACCGATTGACTTTGACATATATTTAGTGTAATCAAGGCATCCAAAATTGATTTTTTTTTTTTTTTTTTTTTTTTAAGACTACTGTCCTTGAAGAGAACAACAGCTTGTCATCACCACGTGGTTATAGGATCTGGTCGAAGTTCTTATCTAATAAACCCCAAATATTAAAACAAATAATAATGAGCAGAAATTTATATAAAATGTATCTTAATCTCCTGTGCGATTCTAAATAATATTCGTTGATATTCAAGATTTGAAATGTAAATTTTAGATTTTTTAAACGAAGATAAACTAGTCTACCTCTTCTATGGTGAGCCACGATTGAAAGACCGTTCCCAGAATTTGCTCTGCCTTATATATGACATATTCAAGTGTAAGTTGTCTCCCCTGACAACTCTTTTTGAGGCCCTACAGGGGTGTTATAATAAAAAATGTTAAGCTGTAAGATTTGAATAAAAGATTTAATCCTCTAGCGGATAAATCGAATATTACCTTCACTATAAATTATATCAGAATCTTAAGACACTTGTGTAGATATCTTTGAATATTGATAAAAACATAGTAAATAATAGAGGCGAACATTCTGATAACTGTATCCGTCTTGCTAAAACAATTTTAATGATCTGCAGTACCCTACTTGTGTTTTCACTGAACCATAACTTGCGAGTCACTTTTAATGATTTTTACTGTTTGCGTCCTATGTTCCAAATTATACAAATAATAATCGTACATAATATGAAGTTAATGTGGCACAAGAGCATGGCATATCTTTTAGTTTATATAAGTAACTAATACTGCGCATGAATTGATCTTCATTCAATGGAAATACCAGCATGGAGTAGCTGGTAATACGAATTAGAAAATACTTATTACTTGACAGGAATTATCAACTAACATATCTTATCTTCATTTACCATTAATTTTTTTCGAAAGATATTTAAAGCTAAGATATAACATAAGTTTTATAAACGTTTCTACTATGAAGTTAAACTGCATTGTTGTAAGTTTTGACGTGAACCCTAGTATCAATGCTCCTCAAAGATCATCACATGATTTTTTAAGCAGATTACTTATTTCAACATGTTTAGTTATCTAAAGTCAAAAGATGCATATAAATCCAGTTCCTTACTATAAATATGCATGTATTTCAGATGGATTTGGATGACTCATTTTTTGGTTGAGGGTCTTGACAGCAGCTTTCGTGTAACAAACATTCCCCTGAAAACACAACATAAATATGGGATTTGTCAAATAAGTGTTGACATCAAGTTTTAACTTAAACTCTTCGTCATCTGAAGCAAACAAATGTGTCTTCTGTCGATGTGTGGACATCTTTAACAGGCGTTTTGATCTTTTGACATTTCTTGATTGGAGGTTATTTTCCTTGTCTTAATACTTTTACTGTTTCTATTAATATCGTTTGCTTTTCAAGTCATTTTTTCAGTTCTTTTGGAATAATTCTAAAGTCTTTGGAGTATGATTTTATGTTTCTGCTATTGCCGCCAAACTGAGAAAAATCTTATGATAAGCTTTTGTTCTTATGTCCAAATTGTGAATAATAGTGTTTCTGATTTTTTTTGAAGAAGACAACTGAATTCATTCATTTTGCCAAATAAATACATTAAATAATAAACGTGTTCTCCATTAAATCTTTAAAAATACTCACAAGTCAGGGTACAGATAAAATGTGTAGGGTTCACAATCACCAGCAAGTAACGTTCAGTTTACGTAATTGACCTCCTTGGTTAAACTCTTAATTTAATCTTCAAAATACAGCAATATTGTTTACAGATGACTAAATTATCGTTTGTTATTGATAACTTTAGTAGTTCGATATCACATTAATTTTTAACTAAGTAAACATTGAAATAAGACTGATTTGTGTTCGTGTTCAGTGTTGATCACATAGAAGCAGTTCGTGAGTTTCGATTATTTTATAGCCTTAATGCTAACGTTTATATTTTGCATAATTTGGACGTTTAATAAAGTTTCTCTTCTACGATATAACATCCATAAGTATCAATATAAATACCAATATATTAAACAATTTAAGCGGCAGAAACTGATACCGACATCTTCTCACAAGATCCGGTTTGGGTTCAAATCGTTTATATACTATGAAAAGGGCACTTGAGTAGAACAAGCGAGGTTCCGTAGGCTAGCTTAACAGAAATTAAAGTATTTACATATTAAATAAATTCTTCCGTGCTCACTATAAATAAATATAAGTTTCTTAACTGTCCTTTTACAAATTTCAAAGGCGTTTTTTTTGTTTCTTTTTTTTTTTCAAACATAAACTGTATATATTGTTTGGTTTTATTAACCTGTCAATTACATACTGATTACACGGTCGATGCACACGATATATTAATCTTCGGTAGATTTTCGGAAAGTTCCGTGAGAGGTACGTACGTTGTACGGTGGAATCTAATTTGATTTTTATCCATGAACTAAATCTATTGATCGTTATAGCGCAATAGGGTAAAGCACGAGTTTACAATCTAAGTGCCACAGATGTTTTAAGTTCGAGACCGCGTTGGTCCATGTTTTTTTTCCTTCTTATTAATACTTTCAACATAATTAAAGCTACACATGATTATTTTTTATGTTGTTCGTTTTGTTTAATTATGTTTTGCTTAATTTTGTAAAGTCTTTACTCTTTAAATAACACGTTTTAAGAATTCATGTTTAAAATTAAAACGGACTAAAACCAATAAATGTCTTTTCAATGCCGTAAAACACCCTACAAATTGGTTCCATTAAAATATACTGCAAAAATAGAGAAAAAGTTAAGTCTAAAAGGACTTCATCAGTAAGGATCGAACCACAGACCTCTCAATTATCAGGCATTCTCTTAACCGACTGCGCTATTGCGAATTAACGAAAACCTTCACATTAAGCTGGCCTGACTTTCAAAACATTACTTATATACTCCACATTAATTCTCGTAAACTACACGGACCAAACCGAAGTGGGTCGAATATTTAAATGAGTGCTATAATGTATTCATAATTGACTGGTCAATAAAATCAGACAATATATTTAAAATGTATACACTGGTTAAAACTTGTTTACAATAATATGAGCAATAATGTACTGGTATTATGTCAAGGACGTTCCGGGTGACTCGTTAACAATACTGATTCGGATTATATTTGTAGTTATAACAGATGAGGTGGCTTTGACCCCTGCTTTTGTGTTGCTTTAAAGAAGCCGAAACCATCCCATTTTGGCGCTTTATGAACTAAATTGTGTTAGTGCGCCATAAAACGAAAGAAAACATAAAATAGGTACAGTCAGCTAGGTGTATATGCGTATAAGGAAAACTAAACAAGGGGAAATATCATTATTATGCATATGTTTTATATTACGAAAGATTTGTATAATACCATCAGATGGCATGCTCGATGATTCACCAGAACAAAGTAGTTAGGAATGAAACACTTTCCGACATCGCCATAAATGTTGAGTGCAGGTTATCTAAACTCACTCTTTCATAAGATTAAATTATACATGACTGCTCAACTTATTATTTCATTTAACTTTAAGATCACACCAACCGTCTACAGTTTCAAGTATGCCGGTTCCCTTACCGACTCGAAAATTGAGTTGGTTTTGTCACAGGTGAAGCGTCTCTTTGGTGATAAGGTATGTATTATCCAATCATGTGTCTTTAATCATTTAATTTGATTTAAACTTGTGATATGCTGAAAAGGAAATTAACAAAAATGAGTGAAATTATCGTTTATCTGCTCATCAACACATTTAATTTTGTCATGTAAATACAGCATACACATATGTAGGATATCGCTTTCAGAGTTGTAATATTTGTTCTTGTCCTTCGGCAAGACATTTTTTGTTGAAAATTGAATAGCTAGAGGGTGAGAGGGATTCTGCACTTTTACATTCTCTCTTATGAATAGGCTTAAGGTCAAACAGTCCTAGTCTGCAATGTTCACATAAATTTTGTTGTTACCATTGCTTCGGAATTCTTCCGATGGATCACCCATTTTCATATTGTTAATTTTACTAATTATTATTGATTGATAAACATTCTTCTACAATGGGATATTAAGATATAAAATGAACGTCAATGTGGAAGGTATTTGGATATTCGAATCGCCAACTTCCTACTAGCTTGTAGTTGGTAATTTGTAAGTCTCAACTATTGAACAGCTGGTAGTTGGTAATTCGTAATTCACAACTATTTAACAGCTGTTAGTTGGTAATTTAATCTACTATTACCAGCATGAAATGTTCGAACACATTATACATTTTTAAACACAGAATAAAAGAGACCTTGTTGGTGATTCCCGCAAATCCTCAACTACCTAACAGAAGAGAATTGGTTATTCGAACTTCTGGAATAAAATATATCAGATATATAGAAAGATGAATGTGTTTTTTCACCATCGAAACACCTGGTCTACCTATGTCATTTATTCGCGCGAATCCCCAACTACCTACCAAAAGGTGTAGTTGGTAATTCGGATATTGCATATAATCGTCTGAAAACAATAACTATTTTTTCAGAAACAAATGTTTCGGTTATATAACAATATATGTGTTTTCTATAAAAATGGTTACCCCCATTCCAATAAATCGACTACGGGACTCAGTTTGTTATTCGCGTGAGCCCCTAACTTCCTACCAGAATGTAGTTGGTTAATTCGAACTTAACATATTTTACCATGAAAACAGAAAGTACTTTTCCGGAATAAATATAACAGATATATAACAAGACAGTAGTATTCTTAAACATCATACAGAACATAAAATCACCTGACCCCCCTATGTCCACCAGGAGACTCAGTTGGGTATCCCCGTGAATACCAAACTACCTACTGGAAGGTTATTGGTTTTCCGATATTGCATTAATTCCTCTGGAAACAGAAAGTATTTTTCTGAAACAAATTTAACGGTTATATAACGAGATAATTATGTGTTTTATATAATATGGGTCCATTTCCTTCACAATAATTTGACAAGGGGACTCAGTTGAGTATTCGTGTGAATCCCCAACCACCAGCCAGAAGGTAGTTGGTTATTGGAACATTACATGCATTCCTCTAAAAACAGAAAAATAACAGATATATGTCACGTACAATGTAAAGGTCTACAATTAGCACTTCCGTTTCACGATTTAAACAAAATTTGGATCATGTTACATGCTTTTGAGTTTAATGGTACGAAACGCACGAATCCCAAACTACATAACATAATGTGGTTGGTAATTCGCGTATTGCAACATTCATCTAAAAAAATAAGTATTCTTCTGTATAAAATAACGAGATATGTGTTTTCTATAATACGAGGGATGTTCGAAATGTATTGCGTATTTCTCACAGCAGAGTCAACGAGCCCCTTTGTTTCGTTTGAGCTGCAACATTGTTATATAAAATTTGTTGTGGAAACAAACTTCCTTTTTCCAGAAGAATGTACTGTATGCAATATCAACCTGGGTTTTCCCGGGAATAATTAACTGAGTCTCCTGGTTGACATAGGGAGACCAGGTGATTTGATGTTGAAGAACACTTCTATCTTGTTATATATATGTTATATTTATTCCGGAAAAGTACTCTCTGTTTTTAGGGGAAAACATTCTAAATCGAATTACTAATTTCCTTCTGGTAGTTAGGGATTCGCCAGTTGTTAAATAGTTGGGAATTACGAATAGCCAAATGCCAGCTAGTAGGTTGGTTTTTCAAATATCCAACTACCATCTAATTACTAAGCTGACGTTCATAGATATGCATATGTCTCCCCCATATTATTTGCTTTTAAAAAGTGCATATTAATGTCACAAAATTCCATTTTTCTTTCAGATAGTTAAAATTGAGCCGGCTAGAGCATATACAAAAAATATTTCAATTGACGCAAACAATTTAGCACCGCTTGGTAAAGGATATCGTTTTTCATATTTACAATCAAACCAAAGGGTAAGAACATTTCCTTTAATTGCTCTTAAAGCAGTCAAATGTAAAGCAACACTTATGCATACTGCATTGACTACATAACGCATCTACAATGATTGCGAAATATTTATGACAAAAAATTTAAGAGTTAATAAGATTTTTGAAAAATCCAAACTTTTATAAACAATGAAATTGGATTTGGACTGTTACATGGGGTCACTGCTAGACAAAAATGTATGAATGGCATTACTTTTAACACAAAGTTTAATTTAGGCATGACGTTATCTATTTATTGCTTTTTATATGTCTATCCGCTCCTACCCTCTTTCCTTTCCCATTCATGACTTCATGTTTAAAAGTTTGACTTCAAAACGCTTGCGTTACATCGTCATTGATTCGAGTTCAGTTAGGCACTTTAATTATTCTCTCATGTGAAGAAGTCAAGCTGACTATATAAGAAAAAAAACATCGAATTAAATCATCAAATCATCGCCAAAAGGGGTTTTCAAATATTTCAATTTTATAGATTATTCGTTTGACAATGTTGTAATTTTCCATTTCCTTCGGCCAGGACAACACAGCAGTTCGTTTTATCTCAAAGGCAATCATCAAACGAACTATATCTATTAAGCTGAAACATTTACTGTCGAGTTTAGTGATTTGTAATTTGATTTTTACACTAAAATTAATTATTATTGAAGTAATGTTATCTCAATTTCAGTACGATGAAAGTGTTAACTATTTTGGGATGCATGTAGAGGATGCCTGGTACAAAGGATGTAATGGTAGCGGTGTTACAATTGCTGTTATTGATATAGGGATTATTGCGGACATTTATGACATCCGAAAGAATCTGGTACAAAAAAAACCTTTCGTAATATTTAAGGGGTCGTTCTTAAATGACTTCGTAATATTTAAGGAGCCGTTCTTTAATGACTATCAACCGCGTATCAAAATAAATGTAACATTTAGCAAATGTAATAAGTAAAAAGCAGAATAAACTTAATTATAACAGATGCGATAAAGTATTAAATTATTTTTGTGGTTGCAATAAACATGCATTGTTATCATATGACAATTAAATGTATAATACCTTTGTAAGGGAAAATGTAGAAATAAATGAATGATTTTTAAACTTAAATTTTAATATAATTTCATGTAATATATCTTTTTCAAGAATATGGATTTGGCCTATAACTTTTTTGATAAAACAACGAATGTGACTCCTGGGGAAATCTTGATGAATTACAGAGCTGAATCAATGCGTTGGCTAAGGTAAGTGTCAACAAGATATACTTTCTTTAAATGTGGTTTCCATAGCCGAACACATCACTGCGTAATTGAAACATACGGAATTGTCTTTAATTTACGTCCTATGTCCGCAATATTTTATCTAATTTCAGATCGGGGAATTATTTTCTTTAACTGTAAAAATAGGACAAAATATCGTTGGCTCCTAGTGAAAACAGTTTTCCGTATAAATACACCCGTGTATGTTTCTTAATTTAAAATTTCATATTTTACTTAGGGCAGGAACGGAGTTTTCACTAACTTACAATAAATGAACATGAGCCTGTGACATTTTCCAAGTGTTCTTTAGGGATTCTGATTTCCAATATTATATGTTAGGCGTTTGGAATTTCTATTGTGATATCTTTACTTCAAGATTCTATTTTTACCTGAAAAGTATATACTTCTTATAAGAAATTTCGGTGCTTGCCCTGTTTTGATTAAACAGTTTTTATCCTGGTATCAGAGCCTTTCATACCATTGACTTCTAATAACTAAACAAAACTTAAGCTTAGGTGGATAACATGAATGAAGATCAACGAGGCATAGGCAACGGTCACAGGACGCTACCCCCGGACATACCCAAGTGGACACAAGGACGAAAGGAGCGGCACATGTGATGTGAATTATTATAAACAAAAACAGGTCCATAAGGGAATTAAAGGGAAAAGGGCTGCACGGGTAAAAAGGTGGGTGGGGTTACAAATGGAATGTTACGACAATTCAACAAGACAGACATCACAAAACATGTAAACATCCAAAACAAGTAACAATACAGACAAGAAAAACACGTGAAGGAACACAAAGGTGTACCGCATTGGAACGGTCAGTGGTAGTTAAACTACTGGGGAGTTTAAACCGGTTTTAGGCGCGCCAAACCTCACTCTAAGCCCCAATATGTTCCTGAATGACACAAAAATGTATTTGAAATTAGTCCCCGCCAAGTGAAATTCTAACAATGGTCATGGTTACATTAGACGAAATAAATAAAACACATACAAAATTATGTAAATATGTAGAAAAAGTTACTGCCTAATTACCATTACCAAAGTACTAGATGCCTTCAAGGAAGACAGAGCAACAAGAAAATCAACTACAAGGGCCCGACGAAGCAAGGCAGTAGACGGACATTAAGACAATTCAGTCCCCAAAGGGCTTTAAGAACTGTCCATCATAGGGTCTCCAACTTGGTCCGTCAGATGTAAACAAAAGAGGAAAGCGTAGCGTCCAACTGTAAAAGGGTTGAACGCCAAGCATGCGGTATGCCTTAAAATAATTGGGTCATAACCTCTTTCAATAAAATATGATAAACAGGACCAACAAGGAAAGGCGGCGTTCAATGAACGCAACCCCCATATGACACAGCAACAAGAACCAATGGCAATGAGTCCAGGCGGACCCTAAACAAAAACAGGACAGGGCAAAGACATAGTACGGACAGCTTAATCCTTAAATGATTAATAAATTTGTAACTGATTAGGAACTCAAAGAAAATAATAAAAGGCCCACAAAGGGGAAGGGGACAGGAGACCGGGGAAGGGGGGGGGGGTAATCAAAGAAATAAAAACTAGAGGCAATGGGGAAGATACTTACCGTAGACGAGAAAACAACAAGGGACACAAGCAAAAGTGTCACCAAAACAGTATGACACAACATAGACATACATCTGAGGAACACAGTGGGGCGCCGCATTGGAAAGGTCAGCAGCATAATAATGACTGCTGGGGAGTTTAAACCAGTTAATAGTGCACCAAACCTCGCTCTTAGCCCCACCATATTCCTATAAACGAGACAGTGTAAATAAAATGAATCCCCGCCAAGTGAAATTCTAACAGTTGTCATGGTTACAAAAGGTTCAATAAGTAAAACACTAAAATGATCATGTAGAAACATATAAAAGTAAACCCATTGACCATAACAAAAGTACTCAATGTCCTAAAGGAAGACAGAGCAACAAGAAAATCACCTACAAGGGCCCGACGAAGCAAGGCAGAAGACGAACATTAAGACAATTCAGTCCCAAAGGGCTTTACGAACTATCCATCATAGAGTCTCCAACTTGGTCCGTCAGATGCAATCAAAAGAGGAAAGCGTAGTGTCCAACTGTAAAAGGGTTGAACACTAAACATGCAGTATGTCTTAAAATAGTAGGGTCAAAACCTCTTTTAATAAAACGTTTAATGATTTTAGTAAAAACAGCAGAAAAATTACCATGACCCAAAATCTTACGAAGTTTGTAAATTACATCACCATAAAAACCAGGCTGGCTAATCCCTTGTTGCAGAAGAGTTTTTAAATCACTACTGAATTAGAAATTTAATCAAAGTTACGATTGTAAAATTTAGTAAAATATTTCCGTAATTTATGATAGCGGTAGAAGCGGTTTTAGAAGCTTGCTGGTAATAAAAATATTCCTCTCGTTGAAATCCTTTACGTTGCTACAAGCTCTAGCGAATCTTATTAACTGAGAAACATAAACCCCGTAAGATGTTGCATGGGGTACGTCTCCATCTAAATGTGGATAATTAACTATACAAAAGTCAAAGTCATCTCTTTTATCATAGTTTTTCGTGTGAATAGAATTGTTGTTGATAGTAATATGAAGATCCAAAAATGATGTACTTAAATTTGAAGAGTTCGTTTTATTAAGTTGTAGTTCATGCGGATAAATGTCAGACACCATTTGATCAAAATAAGGATTATCTAAATTAAAAATATCATCAAGGTATCTGGAAGTATTATTAAATGCGACTATAACATCTTGTTGTTTATCTTCAGAGAGACTCAACATAAAGTCTCTTTCATAGCAGTACAAAAACAAATCGGCGACCAGGGGTGCACAATTAGTACCCATAGGAATTCCTATGATCTGTTTAAATAGGGTATTACCAAACCTGAAATAAATGTTGTCTAAAAGAAAAGAGAGTGCTCTACAAACTTCGTCACAGGTCCACATAGTATAATGTTTAACAATACCGTTAGTAAAAAAAGCTTTGTTAGAATTACATGCTAGAAAGGTAACTTTTTCCCGTGCAAAAGTTTTCTGAATTAGGGAAATTAGTTTATCATTGATTAATTTATGTGGCAAAGTTGTATAAAGTGTAGAAAAATCGTATGTACTGACAGTTGAAGCTTGAAAGTTCTTAATTTTGAATTTATCCAATATTTCACCAGAATTTTTAATTGACCAAAAGAGATGTTTGCCTGTGTTTTCATAGACTTTATCACAATATCTAATTGCATGTGTTTTTATGGCAGTCAAACAAGACGTCAATAAGATAGAAAGTTTACTTGTAGTGCAAGATGTAGAATTAGCAATGAATCTAGCTTTGTAAGGTTTTTATGTAATTTAGGAATCCAATACATAATAGGAAGTTTGAGTTCTTTTTCATTAATTTGTACTTTAAGATTGAAAATATTAGTAATATGATTGTTTACAATGTCTTTTTCGGAGGCAGAGGTTTTAGAATACGCATTAGTACTATTTAGTTCCTTATGCAAAACGTTACTGTAATGGATTCGTCATACAATTATAATATTATTAGCCGCCTTGTCCGCTGGCACCAAAACAAATTTTGAATGAAAAGCTAAAATATCTTTTTTCAGATGTCTTAAAATAAGTCTTGGTTTAGGTGGCAAAAGATGTTCATTTCCACGATAAAAATTAATACGTGAATCAATAATTTTAAAGATGTTACGTTTCCATGTAACTAGAGCATTACTATCCGCATTTTCACGGCGACACCATTTGACCAAAAAATCCTCTATAGTTTCAGCAATCTTGATAACATAACATATTGAGAACATAGCATATTTCCCGCAATGTATATATTTTGCACAGAGGTAATGTGTGTTACTGGCTTTCTTTCTTTTTGTGTTTGCTTCTTTATCTGAGGATTGTTGTCTGATCTATTTTACTGCTTTCAGTCATGGGATTCAATGTACCAGCATAATAGCTGCAGAGAAAGGAAACGGATTGTGTAATGCTGGAATTGCTTTTGAGGGAAAAGTTGTTCGTAAGTTAAATATTGTTTGGCTTTAAAAGAAATAATTTTCATGTCAATATACATGTATATCATAATTTATGGGTTTAACTAACGCAAAGTAACTGTTTGTAATTTATTTAAGACTTATTGTATGAATAACAATATTCAAAGAAACTGTTTTTAATCTAATACATACGTGTAATTTATTATTTTCCTTGCCACTTTTTTGCCATCTTTACAATCCTTCATTCCCTTTCCTTAACAGAGTCACATTTAGCTCCAGTTTAAAGAGTATCATCTTCAAGAGTGGTTCTTTGACTGAATATTGTAGTTCTATAAATAAAACTCTTTCAAAGTGAATTTTATGTTGTTAAAAGATTTGTTTTCTTTTCAGCATTGAAAGCATTTACCTTGTTGCATGAGTATCATGTTTTCAAAGTACACACAACAGACGATGTCATTGCCGCTGCGCTAACTCACGGTCTTAAAGACATTCACATCTACTCAAATAGCTGGTCATCGACGCCGACAAAATTCAGTCCACTTGGTTTAGTGATGAGAGAAGCCATTTTACACGGAGTAACCAATGTAAGTAGGTCTGGAAAGGGGGTTGTGGCTCGAGAGCACGCAAACAAAGCCAAACCACGTGAAAAATTGACGACTCTGTTTGATTGAATTCATGCAATGTGCTGCTTGATTAAGTTCATGTATGTGATGAAAAATACTTCTCTTCTTCAGCACAGGTTTCAGTCTACAATACTTAGCTTAATGAAATGAGTTATCGTAAGGGCCAGAAAAACAATGACAATTTTTTATCAAAATGTAAAATTTACAATCATTTGCTTGATATATTATAACTGTTGCAATGTAGATTTGTATACATTTAAAACGGTAACTGCCACATTTTGTAATTATTAAACATTTTGAACACTTGTGAAATACAGGGAAGAAAGAAACGTGGATCAATATATGTTTTTCCGGATGGGTCGGATGGAATAACAGGAATCGGGGCTGCAAACAGTATACACACCATTGCAGTAAACAATGTGGGTGTTGGAGGAACATTGCTAGAGAACCATGAAGTTAGTGCCTGTGTGATAACATCAGGACTCGGTAATGGGAACAGACTTCATACACATTTTATGGTACGTAATTCACATGTTTAATTTCATATCATTTGTATTTTCGTAATGTTTAAATACTAACTGTATACAGTTGTGTATACGGTTAGTTATGTACATATAATATAGGGGGCATCCATGGCCGAGTTGTTAAGGTCGTTGACTACAAACCAATTGCCCCACACCTCTATGGGTTCGAACCCCGACAGGGGCTTTGGATTCTTTCACGTGAGGAAGCTATCCAGCTATCTTACGGAACGTCGGTGGTTCTACTCAGGTGTCCGTTCGTGCCTGAAATCATGCACGGAAGGAAACCTAGGGTTTTCCTCCACCAGTAAAGCTGGAACAAAACAAAACATATAATATAGAAATTCTGTCTTCAATATCTTTATCAGGTTTTCAATGTATGTCTTTTTTTCTTTTTTAGATGACATCATCATATAACGATGCATGTGTTGGATCATTTGAGGGTGTTTCCGCGGCTGTTGCAGAAGTTTCTGCTATCATAGCTCTAGTCTTACAAGCAAGGTATGTTTATCTTTACAGATAGTTTGGACAAATATTTGCGAATGTCAATTTATGTGCAGTTTGCAGATAAACAATAGATAACCAGAAATACAACGTTGCCACACAAAACATAAATGATATGCTTTATTTATCAAGTCTTAAGTACATGAGAATTGTTATTGACACATCTTGATATAAAATAAGTGTTGGACAAGTATTTCCAAAGGTAAATGCATTTACTGAATTTCTCAAATAAAGACAGCGTTGGTGAAACAAAATTGCTCAGTTTATAGATAATGTTTGTAATATACATACAAGTACTTTTTTATAGTCAAAAGAAATTAAAAAAACGTGCTTACAGTGAGCCAATGTGACCCCCCTCGTGCGTCATGCGTCGTCAACATTTTCTTTTAACAGCATATGCTCTGAAACTTGGGACTGTACATAACCAAACTTTACAGGAATGATCCTTCAGTTGAATGGTCCTCTTTCAAGGTCGTCCAAATGATTCAGGTCTGTTGCATAAGTAGACCAGAAGGCCAGAAAAGAAGTACTGCAAATTTAAAAAGCATCTTGTCTAAAGGTGTAAGCCCCAGCGCTTAGATATTAGATATGAAACATTGTCTGGACCACTATCAAGATTGTTTAAATTCAAGTTTTTGGGTCAAAACTGACATTGGGAATCAAAGACCTACTGTTTTGGTATTAAATATGAAGCTATGAAATGGAACATGTGCACAATTTCAGATATAAAATTGAACTTTGATATAAGCTGGCCTCGATTTTTACCTACTTTCTTGTCATTTGATATACAGCGATGAAATTTGGACAACGTGCACAAACGAACTTTGATATAAGTAAAGTCTAATGACTAACATCGTTCAAATTCTTGTTAAAACACCAGCTTTTATTGCTTCCACACAAATAACAGTTTGGCCTAACGTGAGCGCCCTTACCTTATTTTACCCATAACTTACAATTAGACATTAGCTTTTATAGAATCTGCTGATTACTTCCTTACATTTTCATGCCACCGATTTATTTGGAAAATGTAAATGGCTGTTTTTTTGCCTTGCTTTGTCAATATTTATTCTCATTTTTATACTACTTCAGGCCAGATTTAACTTACCGGGACATTCAGCAAATACTAGCAGAATCTTCAGACAGAGAGGAACTTGCAGAATCACCCAACTTTCTTCAAAATGGTGCTGGAAAATATTGTAAGATATTTTGAAGATATTTTCATATAGTCTTCAAATATTTACCTGTAATCGATGTAAACATTTAAATATCATATTTAGTTACGATCTACTTAATCTTTTATGGGGCGTCCGTGGCCGAGTGGTTAAGGTCGTTGACTTCGAATCACTTGCCCCTCACCGCTGTGGGTTCGAATCCCGACAGGGACTTTGGATTCTTTCATGTGAGAAAGCTATCCAGCTAGCTTACGGAACGTCGTTGGTTCTACTCAGGTGCCTGTTCGTGCCTGAAATAATGCTCGGAAGGGCACCTGAGGTCTTCCTCCACCAGTAAAGCTGGAACGCCGCGATATGACATATACTGTGTCGATTTGACGTAAAACCCAAAACAAACAAACAAACAAATAATCTTTTATGTCTTTGAATTTAATATCTGTGTGCTTTACTAAAAGAATTCTTTTAGAATTATGCCATTTAAGAAGCATGGGTAAACTCCCCGAAATTTTTGGCTTGGCTGTAACAATCACTTATGAAGTAAAATATTTACACAACATGCATTGTGTTAATCAAAACTGGTAGTCGTTTAATAAAATAATCTTTAGGTTCAAATTTTAAAGTAATGTTTGACGGTTGACATTGGTTGATAGGCAAACAATGATATACCGTGTGTCAAGTATTTTATATACTTTTAAGACCATCCATTCTTTGGCTTCGGATTACTGAATGCAGATAAGGCAGTAACGATCGCGAAGACATGGCGTCAGGTTGGAAAGATGTTCAGTAATACTTTAGACTTGAAGAGAATTAGTTCAATTCAACTGCATCATAAATACTCGTATGTATATAATTTATAAAATAGAAAAAATTTATAAAATGAAAAAATATTGATAATATATGATACAATATGCATCAAACGGTCAGCATGAACTTTAAAACATTCAATGGTTTTGGAATATCTAAGATCTAAGCACTGTATTGTTTACTTTGTATTATTTATTAACCATGGGACATCTTGCATATCCTTCACAACTTTTTCTATAACTTATGATCCTTTATCACACAATCTTTAGTTGGAGGCAATTCGTGGGTTTTTAAAGAATGGCAATATATCTTTCCAGCATTAAAATGATGACGAAAGTGACATTTCAAATGAAAGAAGATCCGTGTCGTCACCATGTAAATACAATAGAACACGTGGTCTTACAAATACCACATGATGTCATCAAACAGAGAGGTGTCCGCATTGAAATAGTTTCACCAAGCAATACACGGTCTCTTGTTGTAGATAATAAAGATGGTCAAAATATTGACCCGGATACTTCACCTAGAGATCTTACTAGTGTTCATTTCCTTGGAGAATCTCCAATTGGGCATTGGTACGTTAGAATACAATTTGACCACGAAACAGGTAAATCAATATTTCTCTCTTGCTACATTTAGTTAGGAATTTAAACATACGTCAAAATTATTAGTGGTATTATGTTTCAGTTTAAATAAATTATCGTTATTCAATGCGGGAACTCATCAAACAAACTTTTTATTATTTCATTATCGTGATATATGTATAAACGTTGAACGTAAAACACGCTTCTATTCGATCTTGAATTACTTGTATTATGTGTAAGAGTTCATTTTATTTATTAAACAGTATGAGGTGCTAGACAACATACAACAGTATTCATGAATATATATTTCTGAACTTACAAAACATTGTGTAAACCTAACCTTTTAAGTTAACTTGGATGCTCAAAAATATCTTTAAAAGCATTATACATGAGTATCTATGCAAAGTATTCTGTAAGACTTTGTTGTTTCTCTGCAGTAAAAATCCACATGAAATCAGTGTCTTTAACTGTACATGGGACTTATGACAAGGCGAAAAGAAATCGTTCTGAAACATGTTCACCTCCACCAGAAAAGCCACCCACTCATAAAGAAAATACCACAAAGAAAAGACACGAAACTGCCAACAACCACAGAAACACACCGAAAATTGATCATACTGCTACAGTGAAAAAATCCACGTCAACGCACGTAAAGCCTCAACATTTCATCATTGTCGGAGTTTTGATCGTCAGCCGTGTTTTACGATACATGTATATTTCATGATATTAGACAATAGTTTGCTGTTTGTCTTTTGTCATTTAAAATGAATGTTTTTGACATGGGGTGTTCACCGAGAGCTGCAATAAAACAAATACCTGTATTAAAAGTTGAAAATAAAGTCTCGGTTGAAGAGGAGAGATGAAAGGTTGCGCAAAAGAAGCATGGATTCAATCTTTAACATTAATAAGTGCCATAAACAGTCTGCTACAAATATGAAATGTCAGATAAGACAATGAAAAATCCATACATTTAAAGATAGCTTGCATGCCCTACAAGGATAAGGTGTTTTAAAGTTAATGCCATTCCATTTTAAGGGGACCAAAGAACATAAAGTAAAATGTACAAGATGGGGTTGAATGTGACATAACAAACATTATCATTCTGATATTGTTATTCTGATAGAAAAACATTTGATTCATGTTGCCAATTTTATTTTTATTGGGTTTTAAGTTAATTAGATTAGTGAGCGAAATGTAGTAAATAACTATCTTGAACTAGATGATATAGATTGGTTAATATGTCTCATATAAGATGATATTACACAGTGACATTGCTCATATCAACTGATATTATATATATATAAGTAAATCAAAAACATACGAATAACTGTATCCGAAGTTCAACATTGTGATATATATTTATGCTCATTACCTTGTTTAATGCTATCCTATTTTGTCATTATATTATCAGCTTTTTATGTTCTTAATGTGAAACTTGTTTTTATCTTGTATATATGCTGTTATTATGACACTCTCGGCTCATGGTATTTTTGGTATATTTAGCATAGATAAATAACATTTTGCATACTACTGCTTAATATCATTTTTGTAAAGATAAGAATGTTTTCTTTTATAATTTATTTGTGTTTTATTAACCATTTGAATACTTTTATTTAAAAAAATAGTTTTATGTCCTTTCCTGTAAAACTTACTTTGACTGTTTTAGAATTTCAAAATAAGATAATTACTTAGTCTTCCAGTAACAATCGCTTATCTTCAGCCGTTTAGTTTACAAGTGTTGCCAAAGTCAAATTTAATTATAAATGTGTTCATAGCCAGTGTAGAGTTGCTTTATTTTTACCATTTTTAAATATACACATTCATAAAACGATACATTTTTGTAATTGACAATAAGGTGTCAAACACTTGTTTATAATGCTCTGATATTTTCATATTTTAGGGAAAGATGGCAGGACCCCTCATGTGCAGAAAAATATGTAGTTTTCTAAGTTTAAATCACTCCATATTAACTTTATTATACAAGAATTTTAGAGGGGATAAGTGGGGGAAGTATATACTTCTAGGTGGGTAATGAGGCTTAATTTCGACCCTAAATTGACCTACTAAAATCTTTTTTAAATAGTTAATGTTTCTTGAAGTAAAGTTATAAGAACTCATATACATGTATGTTGTTAAGTTACGTCTGACATAGATGGCTATGTAATTTAAATGTGGATTTTGGTATTTAGTTACATTGATAATAATTCAGCAATTTTGTTGTCTTGCCATTCCAAATTCTTCCATAATACGTGAGAACATTGTACTAATCTTATTTTCTGATTCATCGTCGACTTCTTATTAACAGTTCTTTGTTAATTTAATTAGGAATTAGCAACAGAATAAATTCCCTTAAGCTAATTTATGTCATCCACGTTTAACATACCACGTTCCAAGTAAATAAAATGACACAGACAATCTTTAAGTTAATGAAACAATGTTTAATAGAAAAGAATTTTACCTGAAGTAAAATTACCCGTGATTATATTTTTTACTTTCTTTATCAGCTTGCATGTATTGTTTTTCAATTGAATTGATTGCAGATTATAATATGAATTTTGGAAATGAAATGTATTGTATATATGGATCCCCTAGATCCGAATTAGTTTACCTATCACAACAAGAAATGACCACCAAGAGTTAAACAAATGTAAAATATATGTGCCAAAATATTATTGTTTAAAGATTTTATAATATAAATAATAAATGTATTATAAGTCTAAACATCTTTGCGTTGATTTATCTTTTATTTTGTTAGTAAGTGCATGTTATGATTCTCTTAACTTATCTTCGTTGAATACAGTCAAATTGCAATATGTTACTTTTGGTTACTACTCAAAATACACCTTGTTCGTATTCAATAAGGTTTGATAATGAAGAAGAGCTGTGCATGATGTCTGGTAAAAAAGAGTTCGTCATGCTCGGTTGGAAGGAAGCCATCAAATTATCATGCAAGATGACAAAAGTTTAACCCTAAGTATCATATGACGTTATTTTTTAGGAGAAATAGCCGTAATTGTCCTCAAAATATCGTTGTTGCACAAATCCTTACAATGAAATGTCGCGTGTAGTGTTTCCATCTGAGTTATCTACAAAATATCTTTAATATCGTTCTTTGTTCTTGGAATGTTTGTAGGTGTAGCGTTTTAAGAGGTAAGATGTGCTGTATTTAGTTATTAACCAACTGGGTTTACACGTGTCTGCCAAAAGTAGAACTTGGGTCTAGAATTCCTGAATAAAAGGGTATACACACTTGAAACACATTGCGTGTTCTTTTCTATTTTTTAAAGGTAAATTATGCATAAGAAATGCTTATTTTCCTTAAGTAGAAAGAACAATCCCCTGATGAAAATTGCGTTGATTGTGAAGGAATATGTCATAAAGTTATCAAAATGTATACAATGTTGCATTTAGACAACTATGCACGATATTAAATTACTATAACTGTATTGCCAATACTGCAAAACGATGCACAAGATGATTCAGGTAAATAACCAGTGTGTAATCATTTGGAAACAGTATCAGGGCACTAAATCTTGTAAAATTAAATATAATGCAATTTGTTAGATTTATTAAGTCTTTTAATCTTGTACATGTTCATATTTTATCACAGTTCTAATAAAAATAAATCATATTTATATATAAACAGGTGCTGGTCGTTATGCCGATTAACCATTATTATAAATAAGAATACGTTGTGCATATAAATTAACCTTAATAATTATACATATTGGTTTGTCTAAACTATCTTTTATATCAATTGCTAAACAAATAGATTTGATTTAGGTTTAGTTCACTTACTGAATGCTAGGTACTATAGTAATTGTTTTTTTAGATTTAGTGATATAAGGAGAAACATTAGCAGCGAGTCCTGTGATTAAGATATATTAAAATTTATCCGCATGCCGTCTTAAAATATTGTTACAATTAAAACGTATTATTGTAACTATATATTTAGATTTTTACTAGTACTATATTTTTCAACTTTACTTATTTAGGTACACAAGAAAGTTTTTTCTCTGCTTATAATAAAAGTTGTTCATATTCATTAGTGTGTTAAATCGCGCGGATATTTATCAAATTATTGCACGTAAACATCTTTATACATTAACATTCCGTTACAGACAGCATTGAATCAGCATTACAAAAGGGACAAACACTTTTATATTTATAATTTGGCGTTCAAATTCACCCATACCAATTCTAAGTGGCATAGTATATTACATTGGCTTCAATGCAATGGAGTTATATATTATATGATCTGTGCAGTCCCTTTCTGCGTATCAATGTATTTAATCCATCCGAATAATTATTTTCCGATGTGTGCAATCGGTCGGAACAATGAATTCCATCGTAGCTTGCTTGTTGACTCATCTACCGAATTCACTTCAATACTTGCAAACAAAAAAGAATCCATTAAATATTCTTTTCAAACTCATCAATATAGATAACCTAATATAAACTCTATATACTGCATATATGAAATGGTATTTTTATATATTGTTCACTCTTTGGGCATTAAATTATATAATTTGAATCAGGAAAAGGGAGTCAAAGTATTCAAAAACTTCGTATTAGAGATATATGAGGTTTATTTATACTCAACATTCGGATATGAAAATAATAGATGTACGTGAATGTACTGGGCAGAAATTTACTTATCCTGAGATGTTTTCGGCGAACAAAAATTTACATCGAAAATCAGACTGATTCAAGTCATTCTACATACAATTCTTATAAAGTTTTGTGCTTTAAAGGCTAATGATTGATAAGAAATGCTTTTATTTTTCAAAACCGTTCGTTTTGTTTGTGTCTTGTTATAAATTCCGTAAAGTTACTCATTGACCATTTTCATTACCTGAACCATATTTTGCCTCTGTTGATGTTGGCAATAAATACAGTTACAGTGCTATAGAATTCTGTATGGGAGTAAAATACTACTTTTTTATTTGGATACTTTTATGATAGATAATGTCACTTTCTGAGTTTCTTTGCTCAATCGGAAAACATTCAACATGCTCTCAACCCATTTCTAAATGTTATAAAAGTATTTTTTCCTTAATCTTTTAAAAGAAGATAAGAATATTCGTTTCGCCTGTAAGGAAAGTTTTCACTTCTGTTATTAATGTTAACATTCCATTCTCAGTTGTTGAAAATTGATCTCAGCTCAGCATTTCCCCCTTTTCTGATTTACCGTGCTGTGTCCCCTTCAGAAAGCCAAAGGTTGATTTGAAAGTGGAAGCGTTACATCTTAAGTTACAGAGCAGCTTCTGCAGAACACCACTCTGTATAGCAGAAACCTCTTCGTAGCGACAGGGTCAATTCTTCATTAAGTAAATATTTTAACATCCCAAGATCATCACATCAGGTAACAACTTAAATGTCTGAAAGAGTGATGTTTTCCAGGGGTTTTATTGTATTAGTGTATTTATCATATGATTTACTAAAATACTTGTTCCAAACAACTAAAGCAAACATTTGTGCAACCGAAAGCATAATAACCAAACAAATCTAGAGAAATTAGTTTATCTGTTACTAATTGAAATTTTTCACTAAATATAATACAGAAACACGCTTATTTTTCATCATTTATCAAAAGTTTTAGCAGGTGAGTTAAATGATTTAGTATAGATTAGACTTTTATGTGTTATTCTGCATTAACTATTTTCAAGGTTGTTCATTTATAAGTCACCAAATACACCTGTAGATAAACCCATGACTCATGTACAACATGTTACATCATGTACATAATTGAAAATGAAGTAAATTTACAGAATTAAGCGACATTTTGTTAGAGATTGTGGTTGTGGTTTGAACGGGATCGTTCTGGACCGAAATATACATGTACCCTTGCAATACACATTTTTAAAACATCCAATGACAAACACCACGGTACGAAAAACTCGTATCTAAAAATAAACAATATCATTGAAAAGATGTTTGTTATTTGTTATCCTACAATGATCAATATAGCGCCTATCTAATATTGCCTTAATATGGTATGCATTCTATATAATGCGTAATTACATATAAGCCATACCTTACACCCCACCAACACCTTCAAACGGGCTTGAAATAAAATTGATAAATGAGTATGATAAATAAATTATATGTTAGATAAGTTTTGAAACAAGCGATTCGAAATAGTGTCATCCAACAAAAACACACAAAATAGAATACATGTCATCATGTACTTGATCATACTGCTTTAGTTGAAAAAACTTATACCTGGAATTGATAACAATCGTTGTTTTGTCATTTACCAAAATTATACTTCTCTTTATCTTATATGAGCTTTAAATGTTATTTTAAGTGTAAAGAAATTTGACTACACTCTACGTTAATCTGATAATAGGATCGTTTTTAAGAGATATTTATTAAAGCAGACGATGTAAATACTGATATGCGTTACGCAATACTACCCAAGTATGATTATAAAACAAGGGGTTTCCCAATTGGAATTCCGACAACCAACTTTGATAGTTTTAATTCCTTTTTCCTTGCTTTAATCACAAACAGAAGAAAATGTTTGCACTTAAAACAACTATTTGTTTTTGCTTTGTTTTGTTTGGTGTGTCGGGCACATCGGGATCGGATAGATATGTGTTCAAGATAAACGGAAATATTAGTGAAATATCAGACCGTCTTTCAGGTTTTAATTTTAAAGATGTTTTCGAGGTAAGTTGATTGAAATTTTGTATAATCCCATCTAAAGTAAAGTGAATTAATTAAAAGATATGTGTCAATTTCACAGGTTAATCAAAAAAGAAATTAAATATTTTTATTTTTTATTCATGTTGTGTGTGTGGGGGTGGGGGCGGGGATGGGTTACCTCAGGTGGTCCTCTGTACATTATTTCAGGCCAAAAAAGGGCACAGGGGTAATGCCACATATGTTCCGTAAGCTAGTTGGACAGGAGTTAAAATACTAACTTAAGTTACCTTTTAATTAAATTCTTCTGTGCTCACTATTTTCTAAACAGTCCTTTTACAAATTTCGTAGGCGTTTTTTTTTGTTTCGTTTTTTTTTCAAGCAGGAACTGTATATATATATCTAAAATGTATACACTGGTTCAAACTAGTTTACAATGATATGCACAATAGTACTGGTATTATGCCAAGGACGTTCTGGGTAACTGGTTAACAATACTGATTCGGATTATATGTGTAGTTATAACAGGTGAGGTGGCTTTAAACCCTGCTTTTGTGTTGCTTTAAATAAGCCAAAGCCATCCTATTTTGGCACTTTATGACCTTAATTGTGTTTGTGCGCCATAAAACGTAAGAAAACTTAAAATAGGTACATTTAGCCAGATGTATATGCGTATTAAAAAAGAAAAAAAGAGGAAATAGGTGATTACGCATTTGTTTTATATTACGAAAGATTTGTATAATACCATCAGATGGCGTGCTGGATGATGCACCAGAACAAAATAGTTAGGAATGAAAGACTTTCCGACATCGACATAAATGTTGATTGGGGGTTATTTAAACTCACTCTTTCATAAGATTTAATTATACATGACTTCTCAACTTATGATTTCATTTTACTTTTAGATCACACCAACCGTCTATAGTTTCAAGTATGCCGGCTCCCTTACTGTCTCGAAAATTGAGTTAGTTTTGTCACAGGTGAAGAGACTCTATGGTGATAAGGTGTGTATTATCTGATCATGTGTCATCTGATTATTCATTTAAATGCTTTGATTTAAACTAGTGATACCAAATAGAAAATTAGAAAATTTGAGTTAATTTATCGTTTATCTGCTCACGCACATTTTATTTCGTGATACAGCATACAATGCAGGATATCGTTTTCAGTGTTTGGATATTTTGGCAAGGCATCCTGTGTTGAAAATTGAATACCGCTTAAACCGATGTTAGAGGGTATGAGAGATTCTGCAACTTTTACATTCTCTCTTATTAATATACTGAAGCTGAAACACTCGAAGTCTTCAATTTTCATATAAATTTTGTTGTTATCATTGCTTCGGAATACTTTTCATATTGTTACTTTTACTTATTATTGACACACAAATATTCTCCTACAATGGGATAGAATTATAAAGATATAAACATATTTTCTCCAGTTTTATTTTCTTTTAAGAAGTGTATGCATGTTGATGTTACAAAATTCCATTTTATTTTCAGATAATTGAAATTGAACCGGCTCGAGCATATACAAAGTATATTTCAATTGATGCAAAAAATATAACACCCGTTGGTAAAGGACATCGTTTTTTATATTTACAAGCAGGCCAAATGGTAAGAAATAGTAACAGGACCTATGCTAGCACATTTCCTTTTTAAGTGCTAATATAGCAGCCAATTGTTAAGCCACATTGGCGCTCCTATCTCCTTTCCTTTCCCCTCACTTAATGACTGAATGTTGTAAAACGTTGACGCCCAAACTCTTGTTTTACATCGTCATTGATTCGAGTTCAGTTTGGAAATTTAATTATAATTCTCTCATGTGAAGAAGTCTAGCTGACTATAAGAAATTACAACAGCATCAAATTATATCATCAAATTATCGCCATAAGAGGTTTTTAAATAGTTCAAAATAACAGCTTATTGTTTTGACAATGTTGAAATTTTGCATTTCGTTCACCCAGGGCAACACTATGTTGGCACAAACATATATTGTTGTGTTTGGTGACAATAATTTGATTTTTACACTAAAAACAATAATTTCTCAAGTGATAGTATCTCAATTTCAGTACGATGAAAGTGCGAACTATTTCGGGATGCATGTTAAAGATGCCTGGGACAAAGGATACAATGGTAGTGGTGTTACAATTGCTGTCATTGATATAGGGGTAATTGCGGACATCAATGACATCCGAAAAAATCTGGTAGAAAATTATCTTGTAATAGTTTATGAGCCGTTCTTAAATGACTATCAACAACGTATTTAAATGTAATGTAAATATAAGAAAAAAAAGCAGAATAAACTTCTTACAATTAAATTATTCTGTGTGGCCTTAATCATTATTTTTATCATTTTAAAACACCTTTGTAAGGAAAATGAACGTTTTGGTAACTTAAATTTTGATATTATTTTGTGCAATATATTTTTTATAGAATATGGATTTGGCCTATAACTTCATTGATAAAACAACGAATGTGACTCCTGGGGAAATTTCTACGAATTACAGAGCTGAATCAATGCGTTTGCTGAGGTATGTTCAACAAGATATACTTTCTTTAAATGACAACTCATGAAATGGTTTCCTTATCCGTTTAAATCACTGCGTATTTGAAACATACGAAATTGTCTTTACTTTACGTCCTATTTCCGGACTATTTAATCTAATTTCGGATTTGGGAATTGTATGTATGTTAGTATTTTATGCTTTATGAGTGTCCAACCGCCATTTCAGGCACAATATGCAGCTATCGCTGTCGAGTACAGACCCCAGGCATGTCACCAGTCATGCCCTTAAAAGAGTTAATTTTGAAGTACAAAGTAGTGATAATTTACCTCAATGCAATTTCCACAGAGAATTAGGCAAGATATGAATGAGTAAGTCACTGTACGGCGGTCAATGAGAACCTTAATGTACAGTAACCCGAGATAATATGAAAAGGTTGCTTTGAAAAAGGCTGTTTGAGTCGACAAAAGGTTTGCCGTTCAATCCGTCAAGCCGTGGGCTCACTCACCCTAGCACACCTTCCTCGTCGACTCAGGGCCTACTGTGTAGGACCACTCCCCTTGGCTTTAGTCATGGCACCGGCAGTTAACTTCATGGAAGCTAAGTCGTGCCGCCTTAAACATAACCCTGAGCTATAGAAAACATACGAACTTACACGCAGCATTGGTTCTTTAATCATCTGCCGATGCCCTCTGTTTTCTCAACGACATACACGTACCGAAGGGAATAGAGAAGCGATTGGGAAATCATTTTCTTTTATTATAAAAAAGGAACGAAATTTCATTGACTCGTGAAGAAAATAGAGTTTTCAGATTTAACACATCTGGGGATGCTTCTAAATTCAAATTTCATATTTTACTTTAGCAAAACCTTAGGGGCGTAAACTGAGTTGACTTACCGTATATGAAACTGTTCATTCAAACTGAGCCTTTGAGATTTTCAACTGTTCTTTAGGGATTCCGTTCTCCAATATTTAATCTTGATGTTGGGAGTGTCTATTTTAATATCTCTTATCCTGGTATCAGAATCATTTATTCCATTGAGTCCTCTTTTTACATTTATTTCATATTTGAAAAGCATATTAATACAATGATTCATATTTACATAAAACATTTGTGGCTGAATATAAAAACACATCTGCTTCAATTAAATTCAAATTCATTTACCACACATTCACTATTCCAAACAAAAAGAAAACATCGCATACTTAAAAGAAGAAGAAAAAACCAGACAAAACATGAAAATAACAACTGTTTTTCCGCTTAAACGAATAAGAAAAAAGAAGATAACAAAGAAACCGAATAAAACAAAATAAAAAAAAACCAAAAACAAACACTTGCACTCAACCAAACACAAACAAACAAGCAAAAACAGTAAAGACAAGTTAAACGTTTAAGGTTATAAATATTTTCCAAAGAGGTAATGTGCGTTATGTGCTTTGAGTCTTTATTTTTGCTTACTGAAATTTCTACTATTTAAGAATGGTTATATTTTTTGATCTGTTTCACTGATTTCAGTCATGGGATTCAATGTACCAGCATAATAGTCGCAGAGAAAGGAAATGAATTGTGTAATGCTGGGATTGCTTTTGAGGGAAAAGCTGTTCGTAAGTTAAATATTGTTCGACTTTAAAATACTAATTTTTTATGTCATTAGATAACATTTTATGGATTAAACAGGCGCAAAGTAACCGTCTGTTTTTATTTAAAAATTTCAATAGAACGCATAACATGTATTGTATTCTCCTAACCACATTTTCTTGCCCATCTTTTCAATCCATTTACAGAGCCACATTAAGCCCCAGTTTTATATGTCTCGTCTTCAAGATTGGCACTTTAACTGAATATTGTAGTTCTTTGAACACGACTCTGGTTATTTTTATGTTGTACATTTCCTTTATTTTCAGCGTTCAAAGTATTTTGGTTGTTGCATGAGTATCATGTTTTCAAAGTACACACAGCAGACGATATCATTGCCGCTGCGCTAACTTACGGTCTTGAAGACATTCACATCTACTCAAATAGCTGGTCATCGCCGCCGACAAAATTCAGTCCACTTGGTTTAGGAATGAGAGAAGCCATTTTATACGGAGTAACCAATGTAAGTAAATTAACTTTAATTTTATAACTTTTAATTTTGCCTCTCCTCGACCTTCTAGTCATGTTCCCCAACACGCTTTACGTGTATATGCCTATTCTTAAATTTCCCTAACGGTTTCTGTCACTTTCTATTATGTATTATTAAAGTAAACACCACGCCGTCTGTGTCCTGTCCTGATTTTGTTTATGGTCCTGCTGGGCTCCATGTCGGTTGTCCTGTGTTGCTGGGTCGTGTGGGGGTTTCGTTCATTGAACGCTGGTCTTCCTTGTTGATCTTGTTTTTAATATCTTTAAACTAATTTTAGACAAATTTCCGTGAAGGAATAAACAAATCTGCTTCATCTATTTCAAATGTTGCTAAGAAGAATATTGTACATTTCAAACAGTAACTGCCACATTTTGTAATGATTAAACATTTTGAACACTTGTGAATTACAGGGAAGAAAGAAACGTGGATCAATATATGTTTTTCCGGATGGGTCGGACGGAATAACAGGAAACGGGGCTGCAAACAGTATATACACCATTGCAGTAAACAATGTGGGTGTTAGAGGAACATTGCTAGAGAATCATGAAGTTAGTGCATGTGTGATAACATCAGGACTCGGTAATGGAAACAGTCTTCATACAAATTTTATGGTAATTCACATGTTAAATTTCATATTATTTGTATTTTGCTTTTTACAGAATTTATTTTAGTTCGATTGTGTAAAAAGCTATAAGCTTAAAATATGAAAAACAAGATCAACAAGGAAAGGCGGCGTTCAATGAACGCAACCCCCATATGACCCAGCAACAAGAACCAATGGCAAGGAGCCCAGGCGGACCCCAAACATAAAAAGGACAGGGCAACGACACGTTAATCATTAAATGATAAATAATTTGTAAGACACACTTTCGAATCTGTTCCTGTAACCAACAAGTACTGAGCAATAAGTGTAAAGTTTCTTGCTCAAGGAACGATTTTCCCCTGACTGGGTTTGAACACATGCGGGTAGCTATCATTAGATTACTCGTCCGACACGTTAACCACTCGGCCATGCCGCGACATAAACATTTGTATTTTCGTAATGAACTAAGTATCAATACTTACTTTTCTTAAGTGAAGTGTATACAGTTAGTTGTTTACATTTGGATTGTACATATAATAGAAAAATCCAGTCTTGTCAAGGATTTAAAGCCTTTAATATCTTTATCAGATTTCCAATATATATTTTTCTTTCTTTTTTTAGATGACATCATCATACAACAATGCATGTGTTGGATCGTTCAAGGGTGTTTCTGCGGCTGTTGCAGAAGTTTCTGCTATCATAGCTCTAGTCTTACAAGCAAGGTACTTGTTGGGGACCACCAAAACCGGACAACCACCAAACCCGGACGGCCCTGAAAATGCTTAATTTAGTATTATCTTTGTTTAGTGGTTGTCAGTCACTTTTTATCAACAATAAATGCACGTTTCTTCTAAAAATAAATAAATAAATTTATTTCAACCACCGTAAATGGTAATATTTCAATGGCTTTTTCAAGAATGTTGACGTTGAACTTTGGGGGTAAAAAAACAATGCTTGACATTACTTGACCTCATATACCAGCTATAATCATTTGCAGAGTAAACAATAAAATTTCCAAAACTTTAGCATTTGTTGCTGAAATATTGTCTATCATGTTAAAAATTACAAATCAAAACACCCTTGGAGCTTTTATCTGAATAAAATCACGTCATGTACATAAATGTCCGGACACATTGTACTGTTGTGAGGTTATTTTGATACCCTCCTTGTCGAGGACTAGTTAGTTAGGAGAAGAACCTAGCTGAACCTTGTCAATTTTGTTTTGTCTCTAGTTAAAAATTATGAAATCTGTACAGAAAAATGTTCAAAAAAAATTATAGAATATGTTTAAAATCATCATTCTTCTTTGTAACTTACATGTTTTGTAGTTTAAGAAGTAATACCACTTTCATTTTTTCCTTGGTTAGTAATCATATAATTTGACCATTGTATTTATAGAATCTGGTAATAGTATTCAAGGAACTTTTATACAACCTATATATTTTGTAAATTGTAAATGATTTTTTTAAACAATTATACTGTTTCAGGCCAGATTTAACTTACCGGGATATTCAGCAGGTACTAGCAGAAGCGTCAGAGAGGGAAGGACTGGCAGAATCAAGCACTTTTACTCCAAATGCAGCTGGAAAGTATTGTAAGATCTTATAATTATGAACATTTTTTTTAAATAATAATCAAAACATTTACATGTCCCCTATGTATCATTTAAAAGTCACATACATTGTCTATGATCTATTATACGTTTTGATGTCTTTCTTTGTTTCTGTTAAATATTTGTATGTTTTGCTCAAACATGACTTCTATATCATTTAGAAGTAAGCCACATGAGAAGCTTGGGTAAATTTTCTGAAATTTCTAGCGTGACTGAAACAAAGTAATGATATATATTCCTAACATAATTCTATATTCTAATGAAAAGTGATAACTTATAAAACTGATATAAACATTTTACGTTTTGCTGCTAAAATAATAAAGTCCATTATACGTACGTATAAAAGAATTAGTCAGCTGTTTATGCTGTTGTTTTTCATATTTTGTCTTTTTTATATAGAATATTGGCCCCATTTTGATAAGGTAGGTAAATTTTGTAAAAATCGAGAATAATCTATTATCGAATAATGGTAGGATGTTGACAGTGGTTGAAAGAGAATAAGATATTGTGTGTTAAATGTCTTATAATTGAGCCGCGTCATGACAAAACCAACATAATGGGTTTGCAACCAGCATGGATCCAGGCCAGCCTACGCATCCACGCAGTCTGATCAGGATCCATGCTGTTCGCCTACAGACCCTTCAACAAGTAAAGAAACTGACAACGAACAGCGTGGATCCTGATCAGACTGCGTGGATGCGCATACTGGTCCTGATCCATGCTGATCGCAAACACACTATGTTGGATTTGTTATAACGCGGCTCATATACTTTACAGTCCATCCAGTCTTTGGCTTCGGATTGCTGAACGCAGACAAGGCGGTAACGATCGCGAAATCATGGCGTCACGTTGGGACGATGTTCAGTGATAGTTTAGACCACGTTAAAAAACATACATTTCAAAGTCATCATCGATACTCGTATGTATACAGTTTATAAAATATTTGAAATGAGTTGATGCTTTATCTTTAGATGTTTCATTTAAGCATTTGCATATATGTGCAAATTATTCAAGGGACTACACGGAGGTTTTTGACAATACAGGGCTGGACATTTTTATCTAGATCAATGTATCATTTTAAGTAGGTCTTGACCAATAACTTGTGTACATAATTTCATATCATTAACTCGCTCCGTTTTTCCAGAATGTCTTTTCTAACTTCACATCATTAACTCACTCTTGTGTCTATTCTGACAGTGAAAAATGGGCCTGAATTGAAAAGCATTGCAATGCTTTTCACTTAAATCGAGCTATGAAAAACACAAATATCCGATTTTCAATTTATTTAATATATTTCCTAATTATCCGGTACATATCTTTCCATTTTAAATGCATCATCTGATCTATTTAAGGAATTAAAATGTATGTTTTAGGCTTTTTAACCTCAGGGGAGTTCTTTTGATGTTGTTTAAATTTTTTATAATACGTGCTTTCCTAAAGCCATACATATATTTATTGTAATCTAGCCCGTAAGATACATTGCAAATTTTTGAAGTTTGCAACTAACAGCTATTCTTAATAGATCCTAAATGTATTAGACTTTCTGCCACATAATCTTTTTATTAGCTTGGGATCATGCGTAAGTTTTCAAAGAATAACGGGCGTGTGGTATTGAAGGCTCTTAGTTTTCCGTCGTTAAAACACATCTAAATTTGTTTTCACATTCTTATTTGTACGGTTTCATTTACGCTCCCTTCGCAGATTACTGAATACACCCACGCTACTTCAGAAGAAGTGAGCGTTAGTGAAACATTCAACCGATGCGCAGGAGAATAGATTTGATTATAAATATATGTCAGCCAGTACCTGTAAAAGCATGGACAATATCTTACATTTACTACTGAAGTTTGTTTAGATTTTATCAAATCAAATCCAGCCTGTAATAATGTCAAGACGACACTCGATGATTCCATTTTCATTACTTGCTATCATATATATTCTTCTATGAATGAATGTCTTTGGTTCTTACTTCCAGCATTACAATGATGACGATAATAACATTCAACATGGAGGAAGATCCATGTCGTCACCATGTGAATACAATAGAGCACGTGGTCTTACAAATACCACATGATGTCATCAATCAGAGAGGTGTTAGCATTGAAATTGTTTCACCAAGCATGACACCATCTATTGTTTTAGATACTAAAGATGGTAAAAATATTGACCAGGATACTTCACCTAGACGTTTAGCTAGTGTTCATTTCCTGGGAGAATCTCCTATTGGGTATTGGATGGTTAGGATACAATTCAAAAACCAACTAGGTAAGTCAATATTTCTGTCTTGAATTATGATGTGTAAGACATGATTTATTCATAACAATTGCTGGTAAGCCCACGAGGACAAAATAAAGTTCGTATAAGTATTTGTATATATCTGACATAACAAAACTTTACTAAGTTGATTAAGCCATTCACGTGAACTTTGAAGCTTTGAAAAGTATTATAATGGGTACCTATGCAAAGTTTTTTAATAATTTTGATGTATCTAAAATGTTTCAGTTGAAATTCCATTGGAATCAGTGTCTTTAACTGTATATGGAACTTACGACGATTCGAAAAGAAATCATCCTAAGACATGTTCGCCTCCACCAGAAAAGCCACCCACTCCTATTCATAAAGAAAACGCCACTAAGAAAAAACACGAAACTACCAACCACCATAGAAACACACCGGAAACTGATCATACAGCTCCGGTGAAAAACTCCGCGTCACTGCACGTACAGTCTCAACATTTCATCTTGTACTTTGTCGGACTTTTAATCGTCAACCGTGTTTTACAATATATGTGTATTTCATGATATTAGACATTATTTTGCTGTTTGTCATTTGTCATTCCAAATGAATGTTCTTGACGGGGGTGTTAACCGAGCGATGCAATAAAAACAAATACATGTATTTAAAGTTGAAAATAAAGGTTCGGTTTAGTTGATGCTATTGAAGAGAAGAGGTGAAAGGTTGCGCAAAAGAAGCGTGGATTCAATTTTTAACATTAATAAGTGCCACAAACAGTTTGACGTGAAATTCCTGCTTCAAATATGAAACTGTCAGATAAGACAATGAAAAATCAAAACATCAAACGATAGCTTGCATGTCTTACAAGGATAAGATGTTTTAAAGTTAATGTCATTCCATCTTTAAATCCATTATC